GTGTGCTCTTCCGATCTTTTATTGTTTTATTTAAAAGTAATCATATTGTTTTAGTTAAAAATAACTATTTATTAAGTAGGAGCAGTGGCGACTTAAATAAGGTTCAATTTGACACAATAGATTTAACAGTGTACGCTTCTAAAAGATAGAAAGATTGAATATAAATATATGTATTGAAAATTAACACCAATATAAATGAAAAAATTAGACAAACATGATTATATTTTCGATCAGAGATGCATATTGTCTTACAATACAACAAGACAGAAACAAATTATAGAAACTATTTGTATGTCAGTAATTCGTGGATTAGAGGAAATCTAGATATCTATGGTAACTTTAAATTCTTGCTTTTAATATAGCTAGAAGAATTTTTAACCGCATTAAATTTTCGCTGACATTAAAAAGGCCGCAAATATTTATTTTTCACGTAGCGAGATTCCGCGAAAATACGGTATGGGATGCCTAACATCCGCCTAAGTGTGCACATTGGCGAGTACATCCGGTCTTTGATGGCCCGCGTGTACGCAACGATGACACGTCGGGCGCATCGACTTCGAGAGCTGGAAAGGAAGGAAGACCGTAAATCTCGCTTACTCCGTAACGGAAAGCGGAGGAGGACGAGGAAGATCGCGCGTCTCTTGCGAGAGGGTAAAGGAAAAAAGGGGGTCGAGGAAATTGCATCTCTCGACGATGACTGTATATTACTTGGACGTCATTCGTTCGCTCGCTCGCTCGCTCGCGCATAGTCCGGCTCAGGGCGGATGAATGTGCGTTATAACGCGACATACGCAAATATACGCGTCGACGGAACGCGAGACGTACACGAATAAGGCGACGCTCACATCGCCCGGTTGCACCCAGCTGCGAAACCGGAACGACACAGAGCGAAGAGATGGAATCCCGATTATTATCGCATTAGCTGAATCCATCCATCGTTGGCGACTTATAGGTGTGATATATTTCCGGACTGAACGGGTTATACATCAGAACATCCGTGTGATCACGATACGGAAGTACTGACTAAAAAAAAACTGTGTAACTAGATAAAACATATATTGTACAAGAAATCTATAATACGTACGTAATGTATGTATTATATTATAAATTGCCTTAGTATTAATTTTTATATGTGAGATTTTTGTTTGACTCATTTTGACTTCGTTTGTCAAAACGAGTCGAACATTCCGGAGTCTTATTCTCGAAAAATCTCGCATATAAAAATTCTAAGGCAATTTATAATATAATACATACATTACGTATGTATTGTAGATTTCTTGAATATCATCAAATATGTTTCATCTAGCGACAGTTAAATGAAGTAATGGACATATTATAAGACCGTAAAGCCCATAAAAAATTTTTATTAGTTTTATTAATAGTAACTATCAGAAACTGAATTAAGAAAACTACAAAAAAATTTTTTGATAAGCTCTATTGTCTAAAACTTCGCTTACCGCCAAGCCTCTTTATATAGGAATCCATGTTATTTTTCTCTTACGAGAAATGAATCTCCCGATGGTCCTCTCGTGATTGTTCGCCACATACATGAAGAGAATTTGATTTTAAGATTTACCCTGAAAATCATGTTAATCGTGGGACAACATAGTATTTCAACAAATTTTACGTGATTTTCATTATTTTTTTAAATATATACTACAATAAATTTGTTGTAGTGCACAGTAAAAAAAAAACAGAAAAAATTACATAAAATTTGTTGAAATTACTATGTTGTCCTACGATTAACATGATTTTCAGGGTAAATTAAAAAAAATTCTCTCCGTGTATACGCTTGCATTACGCGCGGTTGCATATAATGCAGGCGTATGTATGGACAGACGGTTGCCTAGTCCACTACATACGTAATAAATTTTTTTACCAGAAAGAAATATTTACATTTGAATATATTTAGCGTATAAATCTTTTGCCTTACTAATGATCTAACTAATTAAAGATCTCTCATATACTAAAATTATAGATTTTAAAAAGATTAGCGAAGATTCCAACACAAGATTTTCGTATAATATTCTATGTATACATACGTACGGAATAAATATATTTAATGTTTAAATCTTTCGCTTTACTAAACTGATGAGTCTATCAACTTCATCTTTTGATGAGTCACATGCAAAAGTTCCGAAAGAATTAGCAAAGACTCCTATACGCAAGGAGTTTAAATGTAATTTTATATATGTATGTATAAAGTAAATATACTTAACATTAAAATTTTTTGTCTGATTAAATTGATGAGTCTATCACATACTAAAATTAAAGGTTCTGAAAAGATTAACGAAGATCTCTACGCAAACTTTAGATGTAATTTTATATATGTATATGTTGCCATGGAGTTATTTTAAGTCATAAAATTTTCTCACTTTTATTTTTTGTCTTTTATAAATTTTCTTTTTTTTTATTTTTTATCTTTTAAATTATACAAAAGGCGAAGATAAGATCTTCATGAATAGTCATTATGTATCGTAACAATATCACGATTGAGCTGAAACTTTACAAGTGATATTGTTACGATACATAATGATTATTTGTGAAGATCTTATCTTCGGGTTTTGTATAATTTAAAAGATAAAAAATTAAAAAAAAATGTATAATTTAAAATAACTCAATACATGTATATAAAATCACACTTAAAGTTTGCGTAGAGGTCTTTGTTAATCTTTTCAGAACCTATAATTTTATTAGTATGTGATAGACTCATCGATTTAGTCAGACGAAACATTTTAAATGGAGGTGGTCCCCATACGGAACTATACTTTAGATTTTACTTAGATATGTTAGATATGTTCATACATTTGAGCATATATTTAAGAATAAGCTAGGAAGTACTGAGAACGTTATAGGAGGTACCGAGAACAGAAACTGGGTAAACGACACTTCGAAGATGTTCCCATTTCTGTTTTTGCCTCAACGCCTTCCGCTTATGCCAGCCCGCGACTTGCGAGAATTATTGAACCACGCGAGTCGCCTCTGTAACTAGGTCAGATAAGAAACAAACGTTTGCTCGAACCTTTCCCACTATTTCTTCGTGGGCTAAATTCATTTAGCCCACGAAAGTTACGACCGCGATTTCGTGAAACGATCCATCGCGAAATGATGTTATTTAACCCTCGCATGCCGAAGGTGGCATTCTGCACCTTCGCCGCCATCGACGTAACGATGATTCAGAGGAGGCGATGCAGTGGGCGAGGGAACAATTTCAGAAGAGGTAAGGGGGAACTCCAT